AAAGATATTCTACGAAGGAAACTCATTCATTAAAGGAAATCTATAAAGGACACTACTTACTCAACTGCAGAACTTAGTGCCAAAAAATGAATTTCATCCTAACTATTACATTTAAGTTAGCTATAAAACTGAGGAAACCTTTCAGAATTTACGAATACAGTAAGGCCCCAGATATAAGCCCTGCCTTACAACCTACAATTTCCTCCAGCCCAGGGACACTTTTGTCTTACTGATGTGGCAAGTGACTATTTCAGGCCTCAGGGACCATGGCTGTGGAAGGGACTATGAATGTGGAAGGATGCCTCTAGCTCATTCAAAGATGTGAGTAGTGTGCAACAGAGATTTGAGAAAGAGGAAGAGTCAGATAGGCATCTGGGCCTTGTATTTCTCTGAGCTTTGTAAACTCTGAGCTCAATAGGAGCTGAGATCACCAGAAAGGAATGGAACTGAGCCAGATCATGTTAGCATCCCAAAGAAATGTCTGTACAGAAAGAAGTCCAAATATTAGGGCTCTATTTTTCAGTGAATCAATATAGAAAATTATATTCTTCAGTGCTTTTTATTCATATTTTATAAACAAGGGAATTAACTTCTTTGTTATCCATGACCCTATTTATCAGTGCCAAGGGAAAGTATGTTCCAGAAAAAAAGATATCTTTCACACCATCTGTATCTTATTATCTGTCACTGGGAAGTGATGTAACCTAGCACAATTTTTTTTCTTAGTTTCAGGACAATAAGAGAAGCTAGATCACTTTGGGTACCTGATATCACACCTATGTTTTTGTCAATTAAAGGAGTTTAGGGATAATTTGTAAAGGATCATTATACCCCATATTTTGTTTAGAAACTATTTCTAGCCCTTTGTGGAAGGATGCAGATATCTTTAAGTATAAAGATGTGTGTTTCTTCACATGTTTATTTCCTACTAGCTTCCCTTTCCCTGTAACTTCAGCTATTCTCACATTTGCAAACAGCCTGCCTGTGTTTAACATTGTGGAGCTTTCTGGCCATCAGATACATGTCCAGGGGGGTCCAGCTGGCTTTATGTTGGAAACTCTTATATGCTTGCAGAGCCTTGGCCCCCACAGATGTCTGATTATGCCACCATGTTGCCTTTAGAATGGTCCATTTGTACAATGGGGAGACACAGATGGATTATGGATCCCAGGCTACCCTAGGTTTTGCAGGTTGGCCAAAAAGTTCATTTGGGTTTTTTTGCACCATCTTAAGGAAAAACTCGAGTGAGTGTTTTGGCCAATCCAATATTTTCCATTTGGGACCCAGGTCTGTAGACCATCCTTGGAATTCAGATATGGAGGCAGCCATTGTCACTGAAATTCCAGGAAAAATTCTGGTACCCAAAAGATCTGGTTTCCTATACATGGGAGATGGTCTCTAGAGAGACTAAGCCAGTTATGAAGAGCTGGGGGTTGAAGATACGAAAACCTGTAGGATAGCCAAGCATCCTGGACCAGGTGAAAACCCGCAGAAAGGACCATGCACCTCCCTCAGAGAAGAGAAGCTCACATTCTCTAAAGTGTCCACAGTGCAGCTAGGCATTTTTAAAGACTCAGTGTGTAGTTTGGGCATTATCCTTGGTAATCCAAATAAGAAATGGCCAAGTTCATTCCAGGCATAAGGCAATGGCTAGCCATGGCTTTCTAAGGCTGGGAGCCACCACTGCCTTACCCTCTGAAACTCGTGAAAGCATCCTTTGGCTGGTAGCAGAAGGGCTTGGAGAGACTCAAAAGAGTTGAGAACACAGATGCCTGTATTTAATCAATTGCTCCGTACACATGCCCAAAATACACAGCAGTTGATTCTAAAACTAAGCAAAGGAATTACCATTTATTGAACACTTACTATGAGCCCCAATCAGGTTGATCCTTAAGCCTATGGCTGGCCATAGCAGCACAGCCTCACCATGTGCCCTATCTGTTTGCGTGGTCCCAGAGCCTAGGACCAGCTCTCCAGCTTCCTTATTTTGTCAAAGTTCGTCTCCCACAAACTTAGGTATGTATGTCTCCAGAGCAACTCTGCCTTGAATTTCAAAGCATATATCCAATGACCTGAATGACATCTCCACCTGGATAGCTGACAGGCATCTCAAAATTAACACATCCAAAATTGAGCCCCTGATATCTACTACTTCCCCAAAGTAGCTCTTCCTGTGGTCTTCCCCATTTCATCTTCCAATTGCTCAAGCCCTAATGCTTGGTCTTATCCTTAAGCGCTTTCTCTCATATACATATAAGCCACCCACAACTGACTTGTCAACAAATCCCACCAGAAGTACCTTCAATCACGTCCAAATAGGTCCAAAATCTGAGCACTTCACACCATCTTTACTGCCATCCACCCCAATCCAAGCCATCTGTTTTTAAATTTTACTTTAATTGGAGGCTAATTACTTTACAATATCTCAGTGGTTGTGCCACACATTGACAGGAATTAGCCATGGGTGTACATGTGTTCCCCATCCTGAAGCCCCCCTCCCACCTCCCTCCCCATCCCATCCCTCTGGGTCATCCCAGTGCACCAGCCCTGAGCACCCTGTCTCATGCATCGAACCTGGACGGGCGATCTGTTTCACACTTGATAATATACATGTTTCAATGCTATTCTCTCAAATTGTCCCACCCTCACCTTCTCCCACAGAGTCCAAAAGACTGTTCTATACATCTTTGTCTCTTTTGCTGTCTCTCATATAGGGTTATCATTACCATCTTTCTAAATTCCATATATATGCATTAGTATACTGTATTGGTATTTTTCTTTCTGGCTTATTTCACTCTGTATAATAGGCTCCAGTTTCATCCACCTCATTAGAACTTATTCAAATGTATTCTTTTTAAGAGCTGAGTAATATTCCATTGTGTATATGTACCACAGCTTTCTTATCCATTCGTCTGCTGATGGACAAATAGGTTCTTCCATGTCCTGGCTGTTATAAACAGTGCTGTGATGAACACTGGGATACACGTGTCTCTTTCAATTCTGGTTTCCTCAGTGTGTATGCCTCAGTATGCCTCAGTAATGTTTTCTGGGTCATATGGTAGTTCTATTTCCAGTTTTTTAAGGAGTCTCCACACTGTTCTCCATAGTGGCTGTACTAGTTTGCATTCCCACCAACAGTGTAAGAGGATTCCCTTTTCTCTGCACCCTCTCCAGCATGTATTGTTTGTAGACTTTTGGATAGCAGCCATTCTGACCGGCATGAGATGGTACCTCATTGTGGTTTTGATTAGAATTTCTCTGATAATGAGTGATGCTGAGCATCTTTTCATGTGTTTGTTAGCCATCTGTATGTCTTCTTTGGAAAAAAGTTGTTTAGTTCTTTGGCCCATTTTTTGATTGGGTCATTTATTTTTCTGGAGTCGAGCTGCAGAGTTGCTTGTATATTTTGGAGATTAATTCTTTGTCAGTTGCTTCATTTGCTATTATTTTCTCCCATTCTGAAGGCTGTCTTTTCACCTTGCTTATAGTTTCCTTTGTTGTGCAGAAGCTTTTAAGTTTAATTAGGCCCCATTTGTTTATTTTTGTTTTTATTTCCATTACTCTGGGAGGTGGGTCATAGAGGATCCTGCTGTGGTTTATGTAGGAGAGTGTTTTGCCTATGTTTTCCTCTAGGACTTTTATAGTTTCTGACCTTAAATTTAGATCTTTAATTATTTTGAGTTTATTTTTGTGTATGGCATCACCATCTCTGATCTGTGTTACTATAAGAGTTTCCTAACCAATCTTACAGCTTCTGCCTTTGACCTACTGTGTTCTGTTCTTGACACAGCAGACAAAATAAGTCTCTGAAAATATAAGTTAGGTCACAAGATCCCTCCAACGCTTCCCATTTACTCAGAGTAAAAGCTGATGCCGTTAGCGTGAGCCCCCAAGGCTTACATGAGCTCTGCTACCTCTCTCATCTCTGTTCCCACTGGCTCTCTGCACCCCAACCACTGTGGCCCCAGCCAAGCCCACTTCACCACCCTTGAGGTCCTTGCTCTGCTCTCCCTTTGGCCTACAATGTTTTCTTCAGTTATCTGAATAACTTGTCTCCCCACTTCGTTCAAGTCTTAATTCAAATATTAACTTTCTTGAAGAGGGCTTTCCTGATCCTCCTAAGATTTCAAACCCTCCTATGCTTTTAAAACCAACTAGTTTTTATACATATCATTCTCTAACATGCTTTACTTTTCACTCACTTTGCTTTTTTTCTCATAAGAATGCAAACACAATAAACAGGGAGATTTTGAGTATTTTCTGTGTTCCTCTGTCTAGCAACAAGCACCAGACATAACCAGCCATGGATACATAACTGTGAATGACTTGATGGCACCCGTTCCATAGTCATTATAAATATTCTGAACACAACTCCCCTTGGCCTGAGGCCTACACAATCCTAAAGAAAACCAGCAACCACCATCCTTTTCCTATTCCCCTTCCTGACTGAAATAAAAGCACCTACTGATACAGCACTGGCTTCCAGAGAAACATGGTACTTGTAAAGGGGGGCCTGGGGAAGGAGCTGTAAGCATTTAAAGATGCTCCATATCATAGATTCACAAATTAGTGTCTGATTCGCACATCACCATACATCTATTTATTTACCTTCTGAGATTTCAGAGTCTCGGATAGAAAGCACAGACCTGGGACCGCTCACACCCCAACATGCAGCCCTGACACCAAGGTTGGGCCTAGGTCGACACTTCCATGGGCAACCCACCCACACCCACCACAGGTGGAGGGCAGCTTCCTGCCATTTTGGTTTGAACAAGCCACAGAGCACCTGGGACTTCAAGTCTCTGGAAGTTTAACTGCAGAAGGAACTACAGGAGGACACAGCTTATATGGGGAAGGGAGGGTGAAAAATTAAGTGGCAGGCAGATTGACGTGCTCTCTGCATGCCTTCTTGGTAGGAGGATCAGGAAAATAAAGAAAATCAGAGCAAGGCCAACACCTTGCCCAGAGCACATGGCCGGCCCCCTCCCTGTACCTGTTACCTTAGATTGAGCGTGTCTTCCGTGAAGCCTTTTCCTTTCAAGCTGGGTTGGAAAGAGCAGAAGCTAGACAAAAAGGGAAAGGATTATTCTACCAGCAGAGTCAGGACCCTTCCACCACCAGGAAAACATTTTCAGAAGCAGGCTAGAGATCAGGTTCATTCTTGCCCTTCCAGTGAACCCCATCTGTCCCCAGATCTGGGTGTACCTCTGAGGCACCCCATTAGCACCCTTTGCCAATAGATGTTCTGGCATAAATAACAGCAATGATAACAATAAAACAATAGTTGCAATCAAAATTACGTGTTTTAGAGACCTCCTCTGGGCTGGGCACAGGCATCTCCATTGCCGATCTCAGCCACCACTGCCATACTCCAGGGGCAGGTGCCATCTTGCTTTAATGCTCCTTGAACAAGGGTGGGGTATGGTTGGTACCATTCACTGCCTGAACTATGGATGTAGAAGACTTCTAGCTCAACTGTGAAAAGCTTCGTGTAGCACATAGAAATCATAGGGGAACATGAACGTGAGGTTCAGCGTTGCCTGTCTACTTCTTCAGTTTGGTTTAAAATGGAACTTGAAGACATTTTAGGAGGTGATATAACAGCAGTCCTTGGAAGAGCCTCAAAGGGAGAATCACAGTCAATGGAGATGTGCCCAGAGCTGGCTCAGATGGCCTCTCTGCAAGAGTTGTTTTCTCCACTCTGGTCCTGCCCTTGGGACCCAGCAGCTGGTCCTGGTGCCAGTGATAGGCCAGGGCCAGCAGGAAGGTAAGGCTAGAATCTCTGAGCACAAAATCGCCCAGAACATGCAGGCTAGGGATGTTAAATCTCACCTCAGGACTTTTAGCCCCAGGTGGAGCTGAATATGACCACTCTTCTATTAACCCAGCTTCTCCGTCATCTGTTCATGGCTAGGAACCTACCTTTTAACCGCTTCTAGATTCTTTGCACACTCACATATCTCTAACTTTAATAATATAAATATAAAATTTAAGATCTAGCTTAAATTTCTTAGATTGATTAATCTCTTTGGAGAACATAAAGTTAAACAAAGACAGTATGCTTCTCTCTTTAAGAAAAAAAGATGTTCCGTGCAGAAGTGGGAAATCAGTTGTTAGGAATTCTTTCCAGTGAAATATGAAGTCAGAGCAACTAAAATTGGCAACTGGGATCAACAAGAACGATTAAGCCAAAAAAAAAAAATTACTTGGAAAATTAAAAAATAAAGCCAGAAAATTCTGGAAGACTGATAAAATATGTTGTGTCTGCACATTTTTTTCCTTCCTTCAGTTTTTACTGTCCCAAATTACTTCAGTTCATGAAATAGAGCCTGTTTCCCAGGATTGAGAGAAGGAGCTTTTTATGGTTTTCTCTTTACTCTGTTCCATAACTCAAGAGTTCTGCAGGTAAGTTCTTTCTCGAGTCTAACCTAAATCCTGCTCACTGTGGGTGGAGAACAATCTCCTGAGAACAGAGCTGTTCTGCTGCTGTTGGTTCATGATCAGTTTCCTTGGTGGAGGATTTTCAAATTCTTACCTTTTGAAGACTTTACTTCGATCACTGTTGTGGAAGACAAGAAACTTGGAATATCCGTTTTGGAAAAAGATCTCCAGGGCAATGTCCTATAAAGAGAAACCCCTTTTACTGCTCCGAAGTTTCCTAGGATGGATGGAGACCTCCCTCCCCCGCCCCCTGCCCTGCGCTCCCGCCCCACAGAGCCAAGGTTGTGGGCCATCTGGGACTCTATGTCAGGTGTGGAAGGATTTCAGTCTAAAATGGACCCAGAGACATGAAAGGGCAAATCTCAGGCACGTGTCCTCTGGAAAACAGAACTTCAGAACTGAGAGATTGAGTTCCCATAGATGCTTAATTGGCGGAAGATGGAGACTTACCTCCGATGTAATGAACATCCACCAAGAATCTCTCCCGTCCGCAAACCAATGAACTTACTGCTTGGACTCTGAGTGGACACGCCCACCTTGTTCTCTTTGCCAGTAGATACAGCCGACCTCAAACCCTCAACCCATTAGCCTATAGCTCACAAAAGCCTGCCTTTCCTCAGTGGTTATTCCTCTGTTATTCCTGAATCAACTCAATTTCTGGTAAATTCAAGCTTGCCTCAGTTACCTCCTTATTTAGGTTGACAAAGGCAACCCTTCCTAGTTAGTCCTTCCAACCTCCCACAAGGGATATGAAGGCTTTGGTAACAGTGATGAATTGGAGTCTTCACAGAGTAAGTAGGAGGGCAGGAGACCTCAGAGTTCCTTTGACCGAAGAAGGAAACAAGAGCCCAACTCACAGGAAAAGTGAGGAGGGGACAAATGGAGGAAAGTGCCCAATGACATCTTCAGACACTTCTACTCCTGAGTCAAGGGTTTCACTTCCTGAACCGAAGGATCATCTTACCAGAAACACTGGGGAGCTGGTTGAGTGAGTGCCTTAATCTGGGCAGCATCCTATGCTGACCTGCAGGCTTGAGGCACAGGACCTTTGCCAAAACCACTTTGCTGAGCCATTTTGATGTGGCCACACTGACACAGCAATGTCGCTTCAAGGGTATTTTGTTAACACCTAAATGAACCTGCCTGCCTTCCTTTTTCCTTTCTTAGACTTGGAATAGTGATAGAGTGAGCCCACATATAGGATGAAGCTCAGGGATGAGGTAGGGTCAGGGAGAGAATACTCAGTACTTGAGGAAGGGCCTGGGAGAAGTGAGGTCCGAGCATGGAGGGAGAGATGGGGAGGGTGAGGGTCAGACTCAGAGATGGGGTGCTGCATCCAACAATGGTCAGGTCCTGCTCCTTCCTGGCTGGAAGCGAGTTCTCAAAGTTCCTTCAGAGTTCCTTCTGAGCAGAGGGAAAGTATCTGTAATGATAATGTAGCACCCTTCTCCTCTGCAGATGTACATAAGAGCCTCAGATTTTTTTTTCTACATATAGAAGTATAAATAATGTGCAAATAGATGATGAACATAGAATCTATGGAGCCCATGACTTGCCCCAGCAACCTCAAGTGCCCAGGCTCTGACTTCCTTGTGGGAGAATCTAGGGCTGGGAAAATGGGGGCCTTGCGCATGAAGTTCTCCCAGCCCCACTTAGACATGCTCACACACCCTCCCACTTCTGGCTTCCACCACTGTCACGCTAACCAACCATCTGGAAATGATCTCCTTTGACTGGGGAGAAAGACACTCACTTACTGATACTTAGTTGCTACTATGTATAACATGTAAATAGACATACAATTACTAAAAAAAAAATAATTTTTGAGTACTTGCTATGTGCTCAAAATGTGCTAAGTGCTATATTATGTAATAGTGGAAAAGACAAGAGGTGGTGGCCTGTTCACTGGAGAGAAATGGAAGCCCAGAGGTGCCTGGCTGCGCAGAGCCATGCTCAGGACTGGACCCATGCTGGCCCTGGTCAGAAGCATCAGCAAAGGGCCTCCTCCACCCACCCCTTTCTGGCTCACTCTCTGAGAAGGCCACTGAGGGCTGGCAAAATGAGAACCAACGCTTTGTGGGCAAAAGCAGCAGAGAAGGGAAGAGAGGGAAAGAGCCAGTCAGAGCCAGCAGCTTGCCAGATCCTTGTCTGTGGGGGCAACTGATCCTCCCTAGAATGAGCCCCTCTGAAAGGCTCCCTTGAGTTTTAGCTCCAGAGAATAATAATAATATAAATAACAATGAGGCCTCCAGCAGGAGGATCACGGGACAAAGAAGTTTACAAATGAAAGGTACACTTATTCTGTTCCAGGGGGCCAAGCACTGTCTTGTTGGCCTATGCAGGATAGAGACCCTGCAGAGAGAATGGGGGAAGGGGTCTGGGCCCCGCCCCTCTCACAAGGGTGGGCCCTCATCTCTTCCTCTGCCAGGTTGGGAGGCCCTTGGGCACAGTTGCAGCTTTGCTATCTCAGAGGTTGGACTGCTGAGGGCAAGATGTGTTTGAGGCCAGTGGGAACCCCAGAGCTCTTCCTCCTTTTGCCACTGAGGTGATGCTTCTAAACCAGGTGGTGTGCCTCTAAGGTAGGAGATGAGAAGTGTTTGGTTGTGACTCACTGACAACAGAACCCTGCCTCTGGAAGGAGTCCCCTCTGTTTAGCAGCCAGATGAGCCCTTGAATACACCAGACAAGATTCTGGGATCCTGGTTGGAGGGGACAATCAGGAGATCTCTAAATCACCTGGCCCAGGAAATGACGGAGCTTGAAGGTAGAGGAAGATTTGAGGAGGGCAGAGAGGAGAGGCAGTAGCCTGAGGAGGTGTCCCCGCGGTCTGAACAGGGAAGACTGGCACTCAGCTCTCAGTCACCAGCTCTGCCATCAGGCAGTGGAGCTGCCCCATCCTGTATTCCTGAGTCTCCGAGGCAGCTCTGGGGCATGTCAAGGGGAAAATAAAGCAAAGAGGCTGGATCCTAAGTGACATGGTAAGAGAGAGAAGGGCCCAGTGGCCAAATGGCAGGGACTGGGGAGAGGGTGAAGCAGAGGGCAGAACTCTGTCCCAGCCAGGGGACCAGCCCAACAGAAGCCAGGGGTATTCACAGGTGTCCCAAAGGACCCTGGGCTGTGCATGGGTGAAGGGGTCAAGGAGGTGTGCCCTCCCACTCAGATGGGGCCTCGATGGCATCTGAACCAACATCAGGTCTTAGGGTTAGTGTTAGGGAAGGGAGGGTCCTTCCTCTAGGCCCCTCCCAGTTCTCACCTGCAGGAGGAAGCGTGCCTGTCGGAGCTCCCTGAGATCACCGTAGCTGTGGCGCTGGCACGAGTAATGGTCAGAGGACCTGTCTTTGCTGCACATGTTGAAGATGAATGGGTCGCTAATGCTGGAAAGAAATCAATATGTGCAGTGAGAGGGTGTCCAGTGAGGGCTTGCTCACCTGCCTGAACCAGAGTTTCTGGGACACATCGGGGGATGTGCCAGCACCCACTTACCTGATAAACCCTGACTGTGTCAGCCCTGCGCTGAGGGGTAACCTGGGACATTGGCTTTACCAGAGGAGGGGACACAAGGCAAAGGGGTCGCCTTCAGGACAGACAGTGACACAGGGTGCAGACGTAAGTGTGAGAAGGCTCTCTGGGTATCGGGGTCAGAAATGGGTTGGTGATGCGGTGGGGAAAAAGTGAAAGAGATGTGTAGTTAGGTATGGACAAATTTCAAGTTCCCGAAACATGAGGCAGAAAGGTGAAGAGCCTCTACTAAACAGTCCCTGTTCAACACAGTCTCAGACAACATAGTCACAGTGTAACTTTTAATATGATATTCTTAACTAGGGAAATCACAGGACACTAAATGATAATCATGACGTTGATTGACTGGGTCTTTGGTAATGGAAGTGGATTTCAGATTAAAACATACTCTGATTTGTCCCACATTTGTATGGGACAAATCCAATTACCAGTTTATACCTGGAATTTATACCCAAATCATCTGCTAGATCGCAAACTCTACCAGACTCAGCCCTCATCCGACTGAGCTGTGTATCTGTGGAGTCTACCCCAGTGCTGGTATAAGACAGACTTTCAATAAGTATTTGTTGAATGAAATTAAACAGAGAGCTGATGCCTTAAAACTGCTGACTAAAAGCACCGATCATAAAAAGCCAGTTGGATGGTTTGGATTCCCACCAAATGAATCAAAAGCTATAACTTGTGAGCTTGGCCGCCACTGTTATGAGTTGAATTGTGTCCCCCAGAAGATGTAGGTTGACGTCCTAATCCCCAGTACCTCAGAATGTAACTTTACTTAGAAATAGGTAAATAACAGAGGTAATAAAGTGAGGTCATGAAAACAGATCCCAATCTAGTAAGACTACTATCCTCCAGTAAAAGGGAAACTTAGACATGGAGACAGACACACACAGGGAGAAGATGGCCATGTGACTGGAGAGATATGTCTACGAGCCTTGGACCATCAGGGATGGCCAGGAAACACTAGCAGCTTGAAGAGGCAAGGAAGGATCCTCCCCTAAAGCTATAGAGGGAGCATGGCCCTGCTGTCACCTTCATTTCAGACTTCTAGCTTCCAGAATTGAGAGATAATAAATTTCTCTTTTTTAAGAAGCCACCCAGTTTTTGATACTTTATACAACAGCTCCAGAAAACTAGTTGCACGGAAAACACAGTTACCCTATTCAGCCAAGAAGGAATCTCCCTCAAAGCAAAATATAACCTTCTAGAAAGGGTCTTGCTTTCTGAGGAAAGTTACAAAGTATACCTGAGTCCAATAACTGCTGGAGGATTGGCAGTGTTCTTGAGTTTTATTTGGGAAGTTTTCATGGTACATCAGGGAGTCTCTTTCAAGATCTAAGGCTCAACTATACTCAGATTGATGGCAGTTTTTTAGAGAAACATTTCAGAGTTGACTTAGCTTTATTTTTAACTGGCTTATTTATATATCTTCCTTAGTCTTCATGGTCAAAAGAAGACTTAATCTCCATTGATCTCACATGACCTAATGGCTCATCTCTGAGAACCACATCTCCATAAGTGCCAGCATTTTCTTCAGGTAGTAGACAAGGGCTCAGAGAGAAAACATTGTCTGGTTTAACAAACACTTCTTTGAGGTATAGTGACTAAAATTACCTATGCAATTCTAAGGTAGTTAAACATTCTCACTACTCTGCTACTTGCATTCTAGAAAAGGACATTTTGAGACTTGAGTACATCCAACCTAACAACTGGGTGTCTGTTAAAAGTGCAGATATAGTCAATTGGACCATGATTACATGCACCTCATAAACACAATTTACCTAATCAATAAAATCTTATCCAACACTAACCAAAGGTGGAGAGTGAAGCAATGGATTATGCGAGTCATTTCATGGGCACTCCATGCATATGGGTGGAGTAGAAAGCTTTCATCAGCTCTCAGAAAGGTGAGTCTGCAGACCCATTGTCCATATTGATCAGTATCAATAAAACATGAGCAATAAAATGAGATGAGTGTGCCAAGTATTAATTATATGCCTGCCTTGAAAAAGCATAGAAGATTCACTGCAATCAGTGAACATTTGGTATGGATAAAAGATGGAAGTTAGCAGACAGAAGAAGGCCAAGCATTTTAAAGCAAACCTAAATCAAAGGAAGGTGGGCTGACATCTATCCTTCCACAATCCTTAAATTCTTGCTTCTTCACATAGGTTGGAAATACTATATCACCTGGGAGTTAAAATTCTTGCTTATTGGCAGGTGAGACTCTTGTTCCTCTGTCAATAGTCTTAAATAGTGGTTCTCAAAATGTGGTCCCAGACCAGTAGCATGAGCATTAGCTGTGAATTTGGTAAAACCTTAGGCCCTAACCCAGATCTATCAACTTAGAAACTGGGATGATGGTGGGTCCCAGAAGTCTATTTTATCAAGTCCTCCAGGTGAGTCAATGTAATTTAGCTTGAGAGCCACTGGGCTAAGAGGTTATCTTGTCATCACTTGAGCTTTGGCTAACTAGAAAAGAAATTGGCATCTAAATTTTTTCACAAGTGGTGTAAACATACAACTGACAATAACTAGCAAAAGTGCAAACACAATCAATTTGGTTTTGAATGGCAATACTTCATAAACACTAGAGAATTATTCAATAAGGGCTGCTGATTGAACCCAAATACACCAACTATCAATACATTTGATCCTAGAGAACTTCAGAATTTCCTGCCAAAGATCTCTGGTATTAGTTGGTATAAAAATGACTTCAAATGTCTACCCAAATCTCACTCATCCTTCAAGACCCAAATCTTAGCTCACTTCTCCAAGTAGCTGTCCCTCACCATACCAGCCACATATCATCCCTCCAAGTGTGAATGAACCCTGAAGAGTCCTCACATAACATGTATTTTGTCCCTTGATGATAGTGTGCTCCAAACTCTTTCCAAAAGAACCTGTATATGCTGCTGATTGTATTATGGGCCTTGCAGGGATGAAGAGGCAGTGCCTGATGTCTTGCATAAGGATCAACAAGCAAGAAGTTGTTGACTCAGTTATGCATATATATACATTATTTTTCAGCAGTATTTAACACAAAATTGTAAATCAACTATACTCCAATTAAAAAAAAAGTTGTTGAATAAGTACACTGATGGGACTGGATTCTATTATCCAAATAACCTAAAGAGCGATCCCTTTTGTCCTGTGGTGCATTTCATAGCAGGAGAGCTGAGGAGCTGCTGTATGGTTAACTGCTCCAGATTTTAGCTTTGGGGGATCCTAGTCATGGATGCTGATGCCTTAAGGTTCTTCTCTTTTACCTCATGGCTCAGTTTCCGGCCCAAACCTGAGCCCATAGAAAGAACAAGGTGGGAGGCACAGGCGTGGGGTGGCTGAGAAGGCAGCTTGGGGTCAGGGCAGAATCTGCCAGGATTGGAGGGGCACTCACTTGGACAAGCAGTGGCGGGTGCAGTAGACATCACCCACGGGAGAGAGCGTGAAGTTCTCGCAGATATAGAAGTGCTTCTGGCCGAAGAGCAGGAGCCCTTCGCAGACCAGGTGGCCCTGCACGATGACCAGGGAGTACTTCTGCGTCACCTGCAGGGAGAGAGTGCCAGAGTCAGGCCATGCATGCGGGAAACACGCCCAACTTCTTAAGGAGGACAGATGGGCAGTGTCTGGTCGCCCACTGAGCATTGGGAAGTGAGAGTAGCACCATGTAAATGACAAAGCTGCTGCCCCCCAACTGCACTGCTCTGCACAGTCTAAGTGGGACTTCTACACCCAACACCCCATTTCATTATTTCACCTACCCAAGGCCACCGTATAGCACTAAGGCATGTGGATGAGTGTTCATTGCTATTTTGAACATGTTGACATTTTTCCTCTCACTTTAAGCTCCTCTACAACCATGCAAAACACTTCTCAGTAAACAATGAGGAAAGTTTTTGAGGTCTGAGGCATCACTCAGTTACAGACGTGAAGAAACTTGTCAAGAAAACAGCAGGAAAGTGACTAGGACAGGACGGGAACCAGGTCTGCCTAGAACCACAAGTGCAAGACTGGTACTACTGTCTGTAAAGGCCAAGGCTGCTCCAAGGTGTGTCCAGAGGAGGCACCAGCTGTGCCCATATCCCTTCTTTCTGGCTCAAGTACATTCTCTCAGCAGCTGGAGATGCTGGCAGTTTCCCAGAATCCCCTCAGCTAAAGAGAGAACCTGTCATGGGTCATGTCCCCGTCTCAGTGGTCATCTGTCCCCAGCAACAGGTCAGCGCAGAGGCAGACGGACTGGGCCCTTTGCCTCCATTCACTGTGAGCTCCCGTGGGCTCAGCTGAGGTCTGGCTGAGACTGCAGTGAGGGTGCACATCCTGCACCCCATCTAGCAACCCACACTCCCAATAAACATGACGCGTGCACCTCTGGCTCAGTGTTGGCTTTCTGGGGAGACTGACCTGGGATGATGTCTTGGTATGAACCAGAGTCCCACATTAAGTAAGGACTAGTTGGGTCCTTACATAGAATAAATCTCTGAAGGAATGAGTGGGAGAATACATGAATTCTCGGTGACGGGAGCACAAAGGAACCAGAGTAAGATCAAGGCCAACATTTTCTCAGGATAATTCTGTGCTAATTTCAGCTATACAAAAGAAGAACTGACTTAAAAAAAACAAACAAACAAACAACCTACTATATAACCACTGGGCTTCCCTGGTGGCTCAGATGGTAAAGAATCTGCCCGCAATGAAGGAGACCCATGTTCGATCCCTGGGTCAGGAAGATGCCCTGGAGAAAGGAATGGCTACCTTGTTCAGTATTCTTGACTGAAGAATCCCATGGACAGATGAGCCTGGCGGGCTACAGTCCAGAGGGTCACAAAGAGTTGGACATGACTAAGCGACTAACACTTTCATATAAACATTGTAAACCTTTTACGAATAATCCTTACAACTGGGAAAGAAAAATTTTCATCTCTAAATTAGATGAAAAAGAAAGAAGATGCACCAAAGATGGGTAAATGGAAGAGCCTGGGGTTAAAGCTAAGCTCCCTGCTCAGCTCTGGGAGCAATGATGGGGCAGCAGAGCTGAAACCTGGAAAGAAGCCCTGCACACCAGTGCTCACACCCTACTTCAAATGGGATTTAGCCAAAGTGAGGAACGAACAAGATAAACAAGAACCCTACCCTCGTGGGACTTAAAATCCAGTGGGGGAAGACACATCCACCAATACATTATCAAAAACTGTGATATGCATTGAAAGAAGGAAAAAAAAAAGCATGTTGATAATGATATAAGGCAGAGAGAAACTTGGAAGGGACACTATGTCAGACAAACTCTGAGACCTGAAGGATGGAAATGAGTAGTCATGGCAAGGCTGGGAGAAGAAATTTCATGGAACAGGAATATCCATCTCAGAGCATAGAGGCAAGAAGGGCAGATTTGGGGAGCAGAAGAGAGGTCATTGTGGCTGGTGAAGCTGGAAGGCAGGCATGTTCAGATCCTGAGGGCCTTAGGTGTCTTCATTTTCCTTGGAAGGCCCCCATGTACTCATAAAAATAAAATCTGTCTGCACTTCTCCTGTCAATCTGTCTTTTGTCAACTCAATGCTGTAGCCTAAATAGAGACTCTAAGGGGGTAGAGGAAAAGTTTTGTCTCTCCTGCAGTATAATCTTCCAAAGAGATTCTGTGCCTACATAGTTTGTTTTATACATATTATCTTTTTTTTTTTTTACACAAATAGCATATTCATACAGCTACTGGTCTGCATCTAGTTGTCTTCCTTAATAGGCCATCTAGGAGCCCTTTCCAAATCACTTCTTACAGAGTTGTCTCACTTTCATTAAAAGATACAGACCATTAGTTTGCATGGATGTGCTACAACCCTCTATTGATTTGTTTTCAAATGTTTTAACATTATAAGTGATGCTGCAGTGACAATCCTTGTGCATAGGTCACTTTGAACACATATGTAAATCTGTAGTAAATCTTGTAAATTCCTAGAAGTAGAACTGCAGGTCAAGGATGTGGACATTTTGTATTCTGATCTAGTGCCAGACTGCCCTCCTGCAAGGTGACGCTAATTCACACTCCCACCAGCATTGGTGGAGGGTGTTTATGCTTCCTACGCCAAGCTGTTGAAGCTTCTTCTCTTACGCCTTTGTACGGAGGAGACTTCATCCTCAAGTTCACGTGGTTGGATATGGGGCCCGAGTACACAGGCCTGGTACCTCCCTGGGCTCTCCTGTCCCTGTGACGCCCCACCCTTGCCCAGACTCTGTGGTGCCAACAGCAGGGGCTGCAGCATGTTCTCATGATCTCCTGGTGTTTTCCTTTGGGGGAGAATTAAGTAATAACCAGAATAAACCAAATCACAAGAAGAATGTCTGGTGAGAGCTGGGTCAATAGCTTAAAAATGGATTCTGCTAGAAAAGGACAACATTCTAAAAACTGGAAAATGATTCTATTCCCTGCTCTTCCATTTAAATTAACCTTAAGAGAGCTCCATCACCAAGTTCACTTGTGATGAAGAAATCCCTCCTGCCATGATTCTATCAATCACTTTAAAAAGAATGGAACTTCAGCTCCACAAGTAGAACATTTTTAAGATCGGCTAAGTGACATATTTTCACTCCTAATGGGTGGATAAGTAAGCACACAGCCACACCTGGCCCAGGTATGATAAGGAACAGGTTGTCTGGAAGTCCAAAACTGCCAGAGATAAAGTTAGAGGGGCAAAAATGTGCTGGGACATTCTGTGGAAGCCCACACCAGCACATTCTCCTAGAAGCAGGCCTCAGCCTGATGTCTGCAAAAGGGGAAGTTCAGCTGGAGGCTCTCTCAAGATTTCTTCCAGCACTATTAGTCTACAACTTAGTGCAACACCTTAATTTTACAGGTAGAAAATGTAAGATTCAGCACTATCACATGAGGTATCCAGTAACAGAGATAACGTGTACATCCTCTCATTGTTGCTGTTGTTTAGTTGCTCAGTTATGTCCGACTCTTTGCGACCCCATGGACTGTAGCCTGTAAGGCTCCTCTGTCCATGGGATTTCCCAAGCAAGTATACTGGAGTGGGCTGCCATTCACTTCTCCAGGGGATCTTCTCGACTGAGGGATCGAACCAGCGACTCCTGCACTGCAGGTGGATTCTTTACCACTGAGCCACCTGGGAAGTCCACATTCTGTCACACTTGTCTGCAAAATCTACTGCAAAGAAAGCTTCAGCTCCGTTCACAGGTGTCACACTTCTCTTTTCATACATCTGCTCACCTAGACCTTGTTAACAATAAATTCTGCTACACTGGTGTCTGGAATAAGTATTCTCTCTTTTTGTTGTTTTTTTTTTTTTAAAAAGCACAGACTGCTGAGAAAAAGTTAAGTATCAAAAAGGAAAGAGGCTATTCAATTCCATTTACATTGACTCCTATGAACTCAGACATCTACTTTTTCTACACGGATGATTTTTAGATGAAGCATTCTGTCATACTAGGTAGTCAAAGAAATGTATATTAAAACAATAAGGAGACACTATTTCTTATATGTCAACTTGGAAAATCTGAGAAGAAATATAACGCAAAGATCTGTTGATGGCAACTCATGTTTTCAGATGGAGACAAGGAGCTGGGATGATCCCTGTCTGCCTGCATCTGCCATTTCCACAAGTGAGCCTGCAAACAACCAAACCTTCGGCCTTTCTCTGCTGGCTCTGAGGAGACCAAATAGAAAAGGATGGAAACTGAAAAGGATTACAAGTTCTGAAGACTGTTCAAAGCGCAGTGCATGGCACTAAGTGCCTTTACTGAGGAGCCACCCATCAGTGGTTAAAGTCGGAACATGTTTCTAGCTAGGGCAGCTCTGGATATTGCAAAACCCAGACCCATGAATCTCAGCATTTACTTGAAAAGCTTAGGTAGGAGAGTCTCCCGGGCAGCTTGTTGAAGTTCATATTCCCAGGTTACATCCCAGTTGTTCTGATTCAGCAGGTACAGAGTGGGTCCTGGAATCTGCATTTGAATAGGCAGGCCAGATGATTCTGATGCAGATGACCTGAAGACCACTCTTAGAAACTGAGCCAGGGACACCAGCCAGGCTACGAAAGCTGAGGTCCCGTCTTATGCAAACCTATGGCTACCACTCACTTATTTGCTCATACTTTCATTTAATAGGGATGTGTTCGATGTTTTAGCCTGTGCCCCCATGCAAACACAAGGGGAGATAAAGCACATGTTTGTGCTTGTGGTTCGACAGGAAAGAGAGGAGAATAACAACTGTCCTCGAAGAGCATGATGTTGGAGGGAAGCACACATACTTTGGGGGCACAGAGGAGAGTGCCTGGCCCAGACAGAGCCCCGAGAGGGAGTGGAGGTGACATCAGAAAAGTGAGTCTCGAGGTGGTGACCCCAAGGCTGTGGTTATGAGTTAAGAAGATTAAAAACAGAGGAGAAAATTTCCAAGGCACAAAGTCTTGAGACAGTGGGACATGTTTGGAGAATATAAACAATTCTGTATAATTAGAGTAAAAAGGCAGGTGTGCATGCACACTTGCACACTCATGTAAGGGTGAGGGAAGCAAGTCCAGGGAAGCACAGGGCCAGCT